TATTTTGTAGTAAATAACAAGAACACGCCTCATTTAGTAAGACGTCATAGACCATTTCAGTACATATCTCGCAAAACACGTGACGTATTTATTACACCTTTCTCGCTTTTTCCCCACCCAGAGTTTTCCCGCGAATTGTCGAGTTCTTTCCCGCACATTCCATCGGTTGGTCATCTGAATATTTTGCGATTGCGAGAATAGATAAAGATCTCGTACACTTATGGGATGTTCATTTGTTCCGATATGAAATTGAAAGGGAATTCTAATGTAAGTCATTGTTCTTATTTTCAGGTAAGTATTTGAGTACCAGTCTGATGCTGAGTGACACGGAGGATGACAGCGACGCAGAGTCGACCGTTTTTGAAGCTAAGAAACGACATATGAATGGTTCAGTGAATGGCTATATAAGGAAAGACACGTGATACAAAGCACCTACATAAACCATAGACAGCTTTTTTGGCTACCGGTTTATCCCCGTACCTTTTCCGGTAAGGAGCTGAAGAAGCTGAATGGTCAATGTAGCTTAGTCTCCAGGGATACACATGGAGTTTGGCTACACGAAATTGACTCGCAATCAATTGTGGCTTTTATTAAATGGCCACAGTTTAGAGCGACGATTACGCATCGACTTCGGTATGCTCGCTCAAGGAGGCAATAACACTTATCAGTGCGAATGTTCTCGATTCCAGACTTAAACGGGTTGCAGTGTTAGAAATTTGTTCGTTGTTATATGGTGACAAGAAAGAGCTATACGGCTTCTTTATTAAAATTGCAAGGCATGTAAATTGGAGATTTTATCAGTAACTCTGCAATTTGTTTGAGGTGGCAATGAGCATTTAGCTGCTAAACAATGGCGACCTTTGGTTTTCGTTCTCAGCTCGCCCGGGAGAGACTTTCATTTACATTGCCAAGGGTTATGACAAATTATCGATAGCTAAGTTGTTGTTTTCTTAATTCAAGAATTTAAGAGGATATAACTAACATAAATATACATTTTACTTATAAAAATTAATAGCGAGCTATTTCGCTGAATCCAAAACCAAACACAATTATAATATATTAGCAATAAATTGTGCTTCATGCTTAAGTGAGAGTACCGGCACATCCTATAAAGTAAAATATCCCTCGTGTCGAAAGACTTTATCTGATTTGTAATTAATTAGCGAATAGCGGAGGCTCTGATGTAGCACTGTTACACTGTGTTATTAGGCATTATGCTTCCAGGAGAAACCACGTCGCTGAAACAATTTTACCACTGCTCGAAGAAACATAAAATTAGGTAGATTGTGTCGAAGTCGTAATTTATATTGTAGGAAAAAACTTACATTATATGCGGAAAATCTAAGGAATGAGATGATTGCATATGGTTGCACTCGGAAATCACTGCCCAGGAACTCCTTTTTGAAGAGTGTGATTTTTCTGTTGAAGATGGGTTTTTGTGGTGTGATTCCCAGAATTTATGGAGGCCTTAAAATCTCAGTACGTTGTCTTGTACGTAGGCAATGGAATATGCACGTGGGTGACGGTAAGATGCGAGTATTGAAAACGGTATTTTGAAACTTTAATGGTTGAGGAAAATACCTAGAGTTAACTTAAGTGCGTTGACATGGCCTCTGCGAACCAACATATGAAGGAATTTCCCGCAGGAAGACTTCATTCTTATTCGTTATATTTTCAGTTTTTCACGAATTTACCATGTAACGGCCCGACTAGAGATTAAATAGTAGCGCCTAACAATTCTTATCCATTTTCATTCGCTTAGAATAAGGCGAAATGTGATTTTCTTACAAATATGGTACGATTCTTTTTTTTCTTTTGTTTCAGTAGTTTCTTTTGCGTAATAATTTTTATCTCGTTAGTAAGGATACATTTGCATAAAATAGTAGATAAGCCTCAGAGAAATCGCCTTGATATTTAGAGAAAATCCAACCAACCTATTTCAGTAGTTAGTTTAGTGAAAGCAAAAACATTGAATTTTTTTTTAGAATTATTTTAGGAATATTGTATCGTAGACCTTTTGAATGGATGAGTCTTTCCATAAAGTAGACGTTTTCGTACTTAATTTTTTTTTTTTTTTATATCTAAGAATGTATGATGAAACGATGGAAATCTCTTGGAAATAAATCCTATGGTAGAAACTTGCGCCCCCAATGCATGTGGTTCTAATAGTAATCACTTAATATATTTTATTTATACGTCATGCTTGACTATTGCAAACTCTTTCTTAACGGAGGCGTACAGCGCAGTTTTATTTGAATCAATAAAGTTTCGTAAAAAGGTACTGACAGCATTTTCAGTTTCCTCTTGTGTGTTATCCTTAGTTTTCTATAATTGGCACCAACTGAAACGCGAAAAAAAAAAAAGGAAATAAGAAAATAATGATAGTAATGAGGAAATATTCAGCGAAGTGAAAGGAGATATCCAAGATTTTCATCGACACTGAGGTGAACAATACTTTCAATATAAACCGCGCAGGAACCTTCATGGTGTGTAAAAATAGTAAACACGTCGTGCTTAAGTCCCCTGTTTGCGTTCCTCGTCACCTGGCATTAAGGGAAAAAGGGTATGAGAGCTAGGAAATTTTAACCGACGCATTTTCAAAATATTTCAGTTTTTGAATGCACTTAAGCACTTGGTGTGCCTGATATTGATTATTTTGCCAATTAAAACTTTGAAAGTCAATGATAATCGAGTAAGCTAAAAGTAAAATTAGTAAACTTGCAGTATTGCTATGATTATTTATATTATGTGCTTAAGGCGAAAGCTAAATGTTCGTCTCTAAATTCGCTGGCTTTTGTGTTTATAGAGAGAAAACATAATGACAGGTAATCGGATGCTTCTGGCTTTTTCCTTACAAGGGAAAACAAATATTCTACAATTATCGAAACGTACGTCAAACGAAGTGTTTGCTGAAGGAAGTTAGTGGACAGAGGAGCAAACAGACTATCCCTCAATGTTACTTTCTGTACGGTTTCAGGAACAGCATTTAAATCTGCACAATTTTTTTCATTTACGCGATGGAGCGCACGTTTGAGAAAACTCTTTGCCTTGGAACTGCAATTCCATTTGCAGCGCTAATATTTATGATTTCTATTCCTAACGCGATGATCCTCTTAACTCTGTACAAAAATCCTCTTCGTTGCTTCAGGAAAACCTTCACGGTGTTTCTCGCGTTCATAACGGCGACGGATCTCTTTGTGGGAAGCGTGGTCTGCACTGCAGAAACCATAACGCGATTTTTGTGTTCTTTCAACGGAAAACACTTTCCGAGTGAAGGTGGCATTCCCACACTCTTAGGGTATATTGGCATCAACAGCTCCATCCTTATGGTAACTGCTATGTCAGTGGATCGATTTGTATCAGTAGTTTGCCCACACTTCTATCTAAACATGATCAAACCGAAGAAACTTGTCTTGTGCAACTCAATCATTGTTATTTTTTCTGCGATTTTTGCCTGCCTCCAACTTGCTGGGATTTCAATGAATGTGTATATTTCCATAGATATACATTTGCACACGACGCTTCCTCTAATCACGACTAGTTTGTGGTATCTAGGAATATTCTATGCTTTGCGGAAGCGCGCACGAGTCGATTTTCGAAGACGGGAGGCCAATTCGACAAATGCTTCTCTTTGCGACATGCGAGCGATAAAGCGTGCAAAAAGTGAACGAAAATTTGTTACGACTTCGTTCTTAATTTTGCTTTTCCTTATCATTTCCCTGGTTCCATACTTTGCATCGATCCTTGCTGAGGCGAACTGTTCTAGTTGTCGAGGTCAGAAATGGCTCATCGTGCTGAAAGAATCTTCAGTGGTGTTCTTATTTCTAAATTCCACCGTGAACCCGTTATTGACAGCATTTCGGATCAACGAGTTGAAACATTCCTTAACAATTGTCATCCGTGTGAAAAGACAGGAAGATGTAAGCAGTCTTGGAAGTTCTATCCTACAAAAAACAATGATGAACACAGCCCCCGTTTAACTGGCTAACTCTACATTGTCCTTAAGGGTTCATGAACGAAACAATCAAAGGAACCCCAACCAGCCTTGTGGATTCCAACCACAACGAGTTCTCATTCCATGGTTGTATAAATTACCAACTGTGCTAAAAACAGAAAACTCTTTAACATGTTGTACCATACACTAGGTTTAAAGCTAATGCAGTTAAGTGTTCTATAACCGCCGCGGTAAGGACCTCAGGCAAACTACGACGACGATGGAAGGGAAAACTTGGCGAAACAAAAGCTTTTCAGGAGTAGAGCAGTAGCTCTGGGCGTGGTTTTTAAAGCTTTTTACTTTTACTGACCATGCTTTACAAAAACAGCAACGTGAAATGGCCAAAATTTTCGGCGTTTCACTATTTGGAAGTCAATGCTGCTCACAAATGCTACGCTTAGGCTGAGGATCGTCGACATCTGGCGCTGTTAGAGATGGTAAACACATTAATCCAATCGCGAAATTCATAAGAAAAGCATTAATTTATTTTGCTTCCGCGACGATGCTACCCTGTCTGTTTAAGGCTCTTAACGCCGATTCTCTACCTATTGCACTATGCAGAACTCGATTTGGCAGCGAGCAAGGCCAGGTGTAACTCAGTGACTCAAAGCGTATATGATAATTTGTTTCACCTGCTCGCGGGTCCGACTTTGCGATTGAATATCACATCGTGCAGAATGCTATTGTCTTTCGCGACTTGTACTTACAGTGCCCAGTTTATAATAATAATAAATAATACCTTTATTTAGATACGATAATGTTTTAAAGCTGAACAGCTTGTGGGGTCGTGTGTAAATCTAAATAAACTCTAAATTAAATAAATTCAAATGATGATGGTTTTTTTAGGAGAGGGGAAAACCGGAGTACCCGGAGAAAAACGCGGAATATCAATTTGCATGTCCAAAACTTTATCAGCTGTGATTGTCAACAAATTTAGCTTTGGGAATACTTGAGTCACATTGCAGATCTCAGCGGCTGTCTATCAAACGGTTTGGTACGATATTTTTTAATTTGACTCAATAGACGACTCACCAACTCCCGTTGGTCAAAACTTTATCGAAGTAGTTTCATGTCGAGCCTGCCATGTGGCGGCCCCGCTTTCTCTCTTT